TCGATCCTTGTATATCTGTCAATGTGTGAACATCTTAAGTATAACTAGGTGGCTACGTGTTTGGCATCATGTTAGGCATGGACGTGCTCTTGCGCGCTAGGAGGTTATCATTCAGGTCAACCCACAAATTCACATTCCTCCCCAGACATCTCACTGAGTGTTTATCTATACTGGCATCATATTTAGTGAATTTTATAGAAAACCTGGATCGGAAGAAGACTAGGTGGTGAAACGGTCGAAACTGTGTGATAAGAACAAAAATGATGAGGAAATTAATGCGATGGGGAATAATATGTATACTTAAATATAAATCATTATTATTATTATTATCGATTCGCTACACTACCGGTCCTGGTTTTGACGAAAAACTACACCCGCATCCTTTGGTAAGACGATAAACTATGTCTAATAGTAAGTTCTCTGACCAGGAGGTTTTCAGGAGCGTGAAACCACCTTTTAGCTGCTGGTGTTCCCATGGTGGTAGCACATGTTAGGGTCCTAGGTATTGGCAAATAGTTAACAACCAAACTTGTGTAAAAATAGGTTTAATACCAGAAATACTTTGTAATAAAAAAAAATATTACCAGCAATGATTTTTTAAGGAAAAATTATTATCAACAATACTTAAAAGAAAACAATCAATACAAACAGCTATACATTCTTTGAAAAAAATATGACCTGCTATAGATTTCTTCAAGGAAATATATTTTTGAAGAAAAACATATTACCAGCAATAAAAATTTTGTCGGAATTAAATAAACCATTGTGGTTGATATGCCGTAAATCAAGCCAAACCAAACCAATCGCTACACTGCATCCAATGCTACACACAATCTTACCTGATGTGTTAAATTTTCAATGTCGTTAAGTGGGCATAGATCTTCAAGATTTGGACAAATCAGAAGATGATCCATATTTTGTGATTGCCCGAATTGGCAGCTGGGATCATCATCAGTGGCATATCACCATTTCTGAATAGCTGTTCGGAGGCGATTCAGGCTAAACCAGAAAGGTCAGGCATCACTGGAGCTGTGGAAGGGATTCTGTAGGACTGAGAGGAGAACCTGTGTTCCACGTTGTTAAGGTGGCTTCCCCAGAGAGTCAGATGCTGATTAGCTCTGTTGTTCAGTGGTTCAAATAAATGTAGTAAGATGTGTCTTGACTTGTGCCTCTTTGTCATTAGTTCCCAGCAGTGGAGTGGATGAGAGGGTGTGTTTCTTGTTTCAACTTCTCAAGTTGGGTGTGGACTGTCTTTCTGATGTATAGGGGAGCAAGTAGAGGTGATCTACTTTGATCGGCTTAAGACAGCCAGTGTTTGATCTGTCAGAAGCATTTAAGGCAGGTTCGATTTTCTTTGCATGTGTTGATCTGCTCAAAACTGGTGGGACATATTCTACTGTGGGGAGTAGGAAAGGGCTAAGGCTGTGGCGCGGATTGTACAAACCTGGACACCCCATTTGGTGTTAGGTAGCTTCTTAAGGATGTTGTTTCTTGACCCGACCTTAACTTTAGTCTTTGCAATGTGGTCCTTGTATGTAAGGGACGGTTCCAGAGTGACCGGAAGGGAGACAGGTTTGTAAGTGTTCTCGAACCGTTTCCCATGTTGAGCTGGCGTTTAGCTTCCTTGTTCCGTAGGTAGAATCCACTGATTTGGGTCTTTTAAGGGTTGGCTTAAGGTGGTTGACAGCCTAGTATGATGAGGAAATTAATGCAACGTGAAGTAATATGTAAAATAAATAAATTATGAAGATATTTACTTCCGGCCACGTCAACGTGCTTCTCCCATTCATCACTGGAAGCCTATTTCAAATCTCGTTGTTTTTCTGCTATTTAAATAAAGCAATTTGTTATTTTTACATTTAGTTAATGTAACTATTCGAACTTGCAGTATTATTTTTATGCGCTCGATTTCAAAATTTCAGATTTTTGCGTGAAAATCACTAAAAATGTAATTTAGGAAACTTGATCTTCTTACTTGGAAATTAATTTAACATATTTCAGTTAAAAGTTAATATTCTATATGAAATTATTATTCATAAAAGCAAATATACTAATGAACAATTTATTTATTTTTGCGGAATTTGCAGGTAGAATTTCTACCACCCTTCCTATAACCAAATGTAACATTTTAATTTTACTTGATTTAAAGAAATGTCACCGTGGAAAAGTGCCTGAAACTACGCAACAGCGACATCAAAGCATTGTAAGTGAAATTGGGTAGGCGGAACTGTTCAAAAGGTCGTCTTAACGCGAAGTCACAAGACATGGAAAAACAGAGTGCTTCTGCCTCTTGACTCTTTTCTTTTTCTTGCTTAAGCTAAACGTTACGTGCTTTCTCCGCAAAAATGATATTAATGTTTGTTCAACATTGCAGTTGCAGTTTAAAACCGTATGTTGGCTGGTTCGGTGGCTGTTCCGGGGAACAAAATTGAGCTTGAGCAGGCGTCTGCAACAGGGATTGGCATGCCGCTCTAGCAGCTGCTTACTTTCGAAACGAGTAGCAGGTCATTATATATATATATATATATATATATATATATATATATATATGAACATTGAAATCAACACTTAAAGGTGACAGGGTGTCTCATGCTTGAAGCAATCGTCAGGGTTGAAACAGACTGTCGCCTCTAAATGTTGACTTCAATGTTCACTTTTATATTTAAACACGCTCGACCTGTAATATTGAGAACTTTATCCCATAAATATAGTACATCTAAAGAGTATATTTCTTTATCTCTCTCTCTCTCTCTCTATATATATATATATATATATATATATATATATATCAATAAAGGCAAAAGGAAAACGTGTTTCCTTCTCTGACGGAATTTATCAAGGCAAATTATGAGGATTTTATTTTGCAATAAGTATTTTAAAATACGTTTAATAAAAGAGACAGTAACTCACTTAGACGAAAAATTCTCGAAACTGTCGTCATCGAATCTTATAAAAATGTAAATCTGCGCTCTAATTTTTTTTCAAATTATTGTTTTTAAGTATTTCTTCCCAAGCAAGACGGTAATGCCAGTAGCAGACACGTGATTAAAATATCTCCATTCCTGAAAGAAATACCCTTATCCCAAGCCAACATACATAAATATAAAAAAAATATTAAAAGAAAACCATTAAATTCTTAACCTACTGTTATTTGAATATATACATACATATATATATATATATATATGTGTGTGTGTGTGTGCGTGTGTGTGTGTGTGTATGTATGTATGTATAGTCCATGCTAAAGCAATTTACATATTAAGTGCATAAAACTTCAATAACATAATTTAATCACTTCAGTCTATTATCTATTGACTGTCATCCTCCATAATTTACCTATAATCTTTAGCCCTCCTGATAAATATTTATGAGCCTCTATTAAATTTAAATATTTTGAATAAGTAACATTTTTATACTTGATTATAAATATTTGCTGCAAAATAAAATCGTCACATTTGCCTTGATAATGTCCGTCAGAGAACGAAAGTCATCGGCTAAAATAAGTTTCCTTTTTGTCTTTATTCATATTGCCCTTTTACACATCTATTGTAGTTACATCGGATTTTTTACATACATACATACATATATATATATATATATATATATATTGTTGAATGTAAGGGTTTCAGAGGTGCACTCGTCATAGGTATAAATTGTGGTATATTTTCACAAGTTTCGATAAACGCTGGGCATGCATTTTCTGGTAGAGCCCAGAAAATGTAATTTAGACTGTTTAGAAGGCCAACGATTGAAGCTGTTCCAAATTTAAATGTGTTACCTCATTCTTGAATCATGTCGACACTGGATCATAATGTTCTAATGAAGATACATTCACAGTGCCCCAATTTCTTAGAAAGTAATTTTTAAAGAATTAATCGAATTTACTTTTTAGTCCGATTGTATTACTTCAAACGTTAGTTTTTAGTCATTTTAGTCAATAACCGTATTTGAGAAGAAGTCACGTTTTATTTAAACAGTGTTTATTTCGTCTACGGACCTGCGCAGTCGACAAAACTTAATAAAGATAAAGAGTTCCTCTTGACAGGATTAACGGCCTCCAGGTCCGGCTGTGATTTGACTGTTCGGCGTGTGAGAGCTTTTCCATTAAACAAGGTTCTATTTACTTTAAAACACCATCACTCTTTCAGAGTTACTCGAAAGTCATATCGTCAATGTTTCCTCTTTGAAACGTGGTGCGCAGGCGCTGGTAGACCAAATAAACACTGTTTAAAAAGTCGAAATATTCAATGTAATACTGGTTATATTGTTTGAAGTAATATATATATATATATATATATATATATATATATATATATATATATATATATATATGTATATGTATGTGAAGGACTCTCCTGTCGAGTTCGATGTATGAGGTTCCGACGACCACGAACTAATTATCTGCATGCCTGTGACAGGCATGACTTTTATGACCGGCTCGAGAATTGCACAAAAGAATACAAACAGTACCGGAGAATGTATTGTATCCAAGTGCAGCAGAAAAAATGTTAACTGTCTTATTTTGCTTTCGTGTTTCACGGAGTCGAATGGTGCTTACTTCTTGATGGTGCATTATTCTTGAATGGCAGCTAGAACGATACTCTTTTCATAGGTAACTCTTCAAATGTGTGTGTGTGTGTGGGTGTGGGTGTGTGTGCGTACGTAAATTATCAACTACTGCCGTGTTTATTTAAGTATATTTTACCATTGTCAGTCTAGGCAACCTTCAACGACTAAGGTCTGAGAGCAGACTTTCAAAAGAGTTAATTCATTGTATGTGGCTTAAAGGGGAAACCATTATTGCAACTGAGTTTGCTGTTGATGTAATCATGGACACTTCAATACAAAAAGCGTCAGGAAGGAAAAAATTCCTCGTCTTGGTCTGACGAAAATAATCAGGACATCAAGGAACAGAATTGTAAAAAAAATGAAACATTTTTCATAAGTGATCGATTTCTATCCAGAACTCGACAAAGAGAAAAAAATGATGTACTTTTGTTATGTTAATATTGGTCCGGACAAACACACAGAGACACATCTATCTATCTATCTATCTATCTATCTATCTATCTATCCACAAACACACATTTGTGTGTGTATATATATATATATATATATATAATTCTTATTATTGTTATTATTATTAATTCAAAAGATATTTTTAGCGGATACCTATATTTAAGTAGACATTCAATTTATTTTATAGAGATTTTTATTTGTCTACTGGTCTGAATATTGAAGAAAATACAGCCGATTCATTTTCTCAATGTCGGAGGACGAAAAGAACTGTTTAATATAAACCGATCGTCATTTCAAATAAGGTTATCCATTAAAAATAACTTCAAAATAAATTTCATTATATATATATATATATATATATATATATATATATATATATTAGATCGTATTTACGATTCCAATAGAATAAATTATGACCATGGGATATTAGTGTTTAAGCCTTTTTATTATATCCTTACTCTGTCCTGGACATTGAGTTCTACCTGGATTCTTCCTCTTGGAATTTTTTTTTCTAAAAATATACATGTATGAGTATTTATATATTTTGCATATGTATGTATATTTACCACTAATATTATCTATCTATCTATATATATATATATATATATATATATATATATATATAGAGAGAGAGAGAGAGAGAGAGGGAGAGAGGGATGTATTTATGTAGAAAGAGATAGAATTAATACAAATTTAAAGTTTTCCACTTATGCACTTTCATTGATGTAACATTGATTTTTTTTACCTTTTCACTTTGCGCGCACGCACATGTAAGTATATAGATTTCATAGAGAGACGAATATGAACTTTTGCTTTAGATTCTGTTTCGGTTGCTGTCACCCCCACCATATATATATATATATATATATATATATATATATATATATATATATATATATTCAATAGTAGTAGTTAGGTTTACCTATCGCCAAGTTCACACACCTTCCCTAGTCTTTTGAACAGGAGTAGAGGTTTATCCCTTATTTCCTGTATAGGATTGTGTTTCCAGTTCCTTCTAAATCTACCTCAACTTGTTACCTCTCCGACTAACGTTTAAAATTTATTTTTCCCTCAATGACTTCAAACACCTCACCAGAGGATTATCCCTTGTTGCCTGTTTAGGATTAAGATTTCGGTGTCTTCTATAATCTTTTCCTTCTCTTTCACTTCTAGTAGCTCCTTGCGTCTAAATGGCAAATGGCATTATCCCCTTCCTTGGGGTGAATTTCATATATATATATATATATATATATATATGTGTATATATATGTGTGTGTGTGTGTGTGTGTGTGTGTCTGTGTGTGTGTATCAAGGAAAAAGAATAAGTCGTCACTTTGAGCAAAGACTGATATTCAAATAGATGAAATAAGTAATAGCTAAAAAAAAGTACTCACTTTCCAGAATAAGGATATCTTTGAAAGAGATCAGCCTTATCTCTCTTAATCTCAAAAGAAAGAAGTTCAATGAATTAAGTAAACTGCGTTACTATATCATGGCAGGTGGAAATTCATAGTAAAGTATTAGGGTGAAAAGTTAGAGGCAGAAAAAAAAAGCCAGTCAATTAACGTTTTCATGACCGCAAAGAAGTGTCGTGTTGCTGGCAAGAAACCCGATGGATACAGCGGGAAAGATTTCGGTGGACAGATACAAGTACAGCTTATGTTACTGCAAGATATTGATTGTTTGGCATTTGATAAAGGTTGTACAAAATAGTCGTGCCGCGGAGAAAATGATTTGAAAAATGGCGCGCTTCCTCCAACAGTTCATTAAGGTGCTGAAGAAAATTTTGATTGATATGATTTGTTTTTTTCTTTTAAGGTTTTAATGCCTTGTGAGTTATTTAAAGCCGAAACATATTTTGGACTGTAAGAATGATTTTTTTCTTTTTTAAGGCTTATCAACCTTTTTGTGGGTTATTTAAAGCCGAAACATATTTTGGATTGGAAAAATAATTTCTTCTTTTTTACGGCTTATCAATCTTTTTGTGGATTATTTAAAGCTGAAATATAATTTGGATTTTAAGAATAATTTCTTTTTTACGGCTTATCAACCTTTTTGCTGGTTATTAAAAGCCGAAACATAATTTGGATTTTAAGAATAATTTCTTCTTTTTTAAGGCTTATCAACCTTTTTGCGGGTTATTTAAAGCCGAAACATATTTTGGATTGCAAGAATAATTTCTTCTTTTTTACGGCTTATCAATCTTTTTGTGGATTTTAAGAATAATTTCTTCTTTTTTACGGCTTATCAACCTTTTTGTACGTTATTTAAGCCAAAACATACTTTCGATTATAAAATTAATTCCTTCCCTTTTTCAGAATTAATGTTTTATCAAAAATTCCCTATTAATTATTTTGAACTAACAATGATCTTTCGAGATACAAGACCTACTATTTAACTCATAGCCGCGAAGAGAGAAAGGCGGGAAAACATGAAGGAAATCGTACCGTCACTTGTATTTGGTGCATAAGTGTACTTGTTTTCATGTGATATTTCAGAATTTGCTGAGGTAATGAAAACTAGTACAAGGCACCTCACAGGTGAGCACTTTAAGAGGGGAAAGCTTGCGTGCTTAACAAGATAAACATCGCTTTCAACTTTAATCTTTCCATCGCTTTCAATTGTTGTTTTTTTTTTTTTTTTGTCTTCCACTCGTGTCTTTCAATTTTTCTTTTTTTTTTTTTTTTTTTTTTCGTTAGCTACTTTTTGCCAAATTTCTCCATACGGATTTCCATCTGTTAACCTTACACTGATCTCTCATTTGGTCGTTCCCTCTTCTGTGGAAGTTCCTTTTTTTTCTGTCATTATACAAAAATAATTTTTTATCGTTATTTCTTTCATCATTTTCCTAATTTATTTATGCTTTTTCGATTTCTCTCGATATTTTTTTGAAGTCTTTCATTTTTCGGTCTCTTTCTTCACATTCCTATTTAATTTGATATTCTTCAGTTTCTACATTTCCGTCTTTCTTGAATTAATTTCACATGAGATTTTCCTTAACCTACAACATATTTCACTTTGTAATTTATATATTTTTTTCGCTTTTTATTCGTTTCTTTTATTTTTATCTCTCATCCCATCATTCTATCATTCTTTACCGCTTTTTCATCTTCATCCTTCTCGTATTTTCTACTTGTTCTTGTTGCTATTGTTGTTGTTGTTCTTCTTCTTCTTCTTCTTCTCTCCTTTCCTTTACCCTCTTCCTCTTCTCCCTTTAATTGTGTCAACCCTAATATCTCCTTCTCTCCGTCTTCTTAATCTTCTTTCATTCCTCATCCTCTTTTTCTTCCTCTTCTTCTTCTTCCTCCTACTCAACCAACCACATCCTCCTCATATGTTCATTTTCTACATTCTCCTGCTTTTCTTGTTCATTCTTATCTTCATTTCATTTCATTCTCATCTTCCTCTTCTCTTTTGTATTCTTTTAGTCATCCAAATCTTAATCTTCTTCCATCCCTCCTACTCTTATTTTTTAAACTTCTCCTTATATTTGCCCACTTCTTCTTCTTCTTCTTCTTCCAGATACTCCTCGTTTGTTTCTTCTTTTCCTCTTCTTCATTTTCCTACTTATCTTTTTTCTTCCCCATCCTCTTTTTTCCTATGTACTCTTTTTTTCCTTTTAATTTCTTGTCCTTTTTCTTCATCGTCATTTCCTTCATTTCTAATTTGTCCTTTTTCCATAATTCGTCTCTGTTTTTCATTCTCCATACTGTCTTTTTCCATTTCTTCTTCTTCCTTTTATGTCATTCTTTCTTTCTTTCTTTCTTTCTTTTTCGACCTATCTTCTCTCCCTCCCTTACATCTTCATATACAGCCTTCCATTCTTGTTTTACTTTTTTTTAATCTTTTGTTTACCACCCTTTTATTTTTATTGATTATTTCTTCTTAACTTCACTCCGACATATTTTTTTTTTATATTTTACTCTCATCAGTCATTTTTATCTGAATTTCTTGCTGTTTTTATTGTTATTATTATTTTTGTTTTCATCTTCGTCTTCTTTTTCAATCATTTTTCATTTATACTCTCTTCAATATTACCCGTTTCTATATCGCTCTGAAGGTTGTTCTCTTTTGACTCAATTTTCATTATGTTAATTTTCTTCTTTCTTCCTTTATTTTTTCCCATGCTTTCCCTTCTTTCGTTCTCTTTTATCCCCACCATTTATTTTTCCTTCCCTTATTCAAATCACCCTATGCGGTCTTCTCTTGATGCTAAATCCGCTACATTTATTTCCCCAACGATTTTTTTTTCTATTTATCATCCGGATTTCTTCATTAACCTTCATCTAGACCTTCATTAGAAAACAGATCTAACGAACATTTACGAGATTTCCCACAATGCAACAATCAAATCAGCCTTCCTCAATTTTCAACTCTAACACTGCCGTGATCCCATAACCTTACGCAACAGGGCGAAGAACAATGCTATCATAAAGTAACCGACGCTATCACGACAGGCGTCAGCTTGCTATTTTAAATGTGGACACCATCAGACAACGTTAGAAAACTCATAAAAAAACAATTCCGACGCCTTTCAATTTCATTATGTGAAGCATTGGGTTCTTCATCTATTTTAAATGTAGTCGCAATCAGATTAATTCTGAAAACTCTTGAATAACGCTACTAACATTTTATTATTTAGTTACACGATGCAATGGGTCCATTGGTTATTTGATATGTTAGATGCGGGTACCATCCTACGGCGTTGGATGACTTGTAAATAACGTTTTTGTCACGTTTCGTTTTCGTAAAATGAAGCGGATATTTCGTTCAGAATTTGCAATGTTAGATGTGGAGGCAATTAAACACGTTCGATAAATTCTAAATAATTATTCCAATATTTTGCGATTTCCTTAAAAGACGCAGCTGTTTCGTTAAAAGATGGAGTTCGTTAGCTATTTGTTATTGTAAATCCCTTGTCAGTAATACTTCAGCCTCTCTCCGAAATGAAGCAAAAAGTTCGTTCGCTTTTTGCAATTTTCGGTGTGTAAACCATCCCACATCGTTCGATATTTGTAACTAATATTTCTGCCTAGCTATTTGTTATATCCGACGTTGATGTCATCCGGGGACTTTCGATAACTTGTAAAGAATACTTCTGCTTCGTTCCGATTGCGTTAAATGAAGAAGTAGGTGTAATAACAAAAGAGAGCAAGAAAAGGCTTAAAGAAGCTTGTAATAATTGATACAAGTGAAGTGATTATTTATAGTCCTCTACAAATGAAAGAGTTCTCCAAAGGGAGATTACTCCCGATTACTTTATTACAGTGGGTTCGTTAGCAATTTACTATTTTAGATGTAGACGCAATCAGACAACGTTCGAGAGCTCCTAAATAATACAGTGTAACCCGGATATAAGAGACCCGGATATAAGAGAAACCTGGATATAAGTGAGATTTTCTCTGGTCCCAAATTAGAGCCTGTGTTAATGTATATAAAATAGACCAAACCCGGACATAAGAGAAACCTGGATATAAGAGACTTCTTCTCCGGTCCCGACAACTCTCTTATATCCGGGTTACACTGTAATTTCAATATTTCACGATTACATTAAGCGATGCAGTTGGGTTCATTAGTTATTTGCTATTTTAAATGTGAAAACGAACAAACGATGTTTGATAACATCTGTAATGACAAAAGAGAACAAGAAAAGGCTTAAGGAAGCTTTATTCTGTTTAGAATAATTGATACAAAATTAGTAATAATTTATAGTCTTCTACCCACGAAAGATTTCTCCAAAGGGAGGTAATCATAAAACAAGAGCGATTGCTCCCGATTAGTTTATTGCAACATCTAAACGGCACGTCTGTCCTGTTCAATTTTTGTTAGCTGTATTTTCGTTAGTTATTTGGTATTTTCGATGTGGCCGCCATCAGACGACGTTTCATTAGTTTTACAGAATATTACTTCAACGTTCATATTTCGTTATATGAAGATGTAGTTACGTTAGCTATTTTTTTTATTTTCGATGTGGAAGGCATTAGTCATACAGCGGGTGTAACATATAACGTCCTTATTCCTCAAGTCATGCTGTATTAAAGCGGCAGCCAAGCCCACTTACCATTTGAGACCGGCTGTGTTTACTTACAAATCACGGAAAGGTAGGCAACACACAGTCATTTATATGAGTCGACCAACAGAGGTTCGATAACTTGTAAGTAAAAATCTATTTTTGTTATTGAAAAAAAAAATTTTTTATCTAATATCCCGACAAATAAAGATTCTTCGCGCACACTGACATGTACATTATCCCCATATTATTAATTCTTATTCGATTTTATTTTTGCTTTATTTTTCCTTTCTCAATTTTCTTTCCCTCTATCCATATTTCTTCCTCCCTGTTTAATCTTCGGCACATTCTGTATATTCGCCTGGTCTGTTTTCTATACCCCCAACTCTCTCCCATCTAAAATGTCGAATAATTTCTGTCATGTTTCAGATTTTCTGCTTCGAGGCCTTATTCTTTCTACTTCGAGATCATCTGTCTAGTAAGAATTCATATTGTTGAATCAACAATGACAATAGCAACCATTCCGACATAATTCCATCGGTCATCCGTTCCTTTTCATTTCACTTTTGCCTTCCCGCCTCTTTTGATAACGCTCGCGGCGAATGAATAATGACAGACGACCTAAGAACTGCTGATCTGTTTTGCTCGTCAATGCAGATACAAAATTGTTTTTGTCCTCATTGTTATTAATTCTGTGATATTTTTATTAGATATCTATTATTATTTATTCTAGTGTTCCTGCAAATCTTTAAACTGATATCTGAGACCTGCGATAAAGGAAGGTCTTCTTTAGAAAGAACCTAACAAATTAAAATATTTTTTCTAAATATGTGAGCGGTAATCATGAAGAAAATCTTTTGAATCTCAGATAGTGAGAGATTTCCTGTGATTTTCTTCATGTGTCTATAATTATTCTTTTTCATCATTCGCACTGCACTAATACAATCTATACAACGAGGCAATTCTGAGATAATTATACATCCAACCAGAATTCATTATTTGCGGTCACAATCTTAACAGTATAAGATATGCAGATGACACAGCGTTGATAGCAGACACGTAAAGAAAACCATAAAATTCCTACAGAAGATACACCTTTGTGCAAATTAATTGAAACAAAACGAATAATTCCGTTATTATTTACTTTTTTCGTATTTTCCAGTGAAACATAACCCATTGCACATGTTAGTACTTTGTATATCCATTCCACGAAGTCGTTTCTTGCAGATTAACCACAGATTCTCGATTGGATTTCAATCAGGAGAGTTTCCAGGCCAGTCTATAGTACTTTGATTTGCTCACTGTTAAGTCTTGCCAGTTTGTTCGTCCAGCGTTACACTTTTCGGACGCTTCCTTGGAGTAACGTCTACTGAAGACAAAAGACGTAGGATAACTAATCGACAGTCGAGACAATAATGTCTTGGTGTGATAAAAATCTAATGCAATAACAGATGACGGAATATATTTAAAGACCAAACAAATTACATCATACACCCCGAAAATAGATTCATATTACTGCACACCACTGCAAATGACATCGATTACATACTGTCAGTCCCAAGGATCTAAAACTGACCGTATGGTGGAAGAAAGGAAACTACAGCAGTTGTTTCCATTAATTTGCACATTGGGTGTAGTTAAGAAAAACGAGATGAAAAGATTAAACATCAACTTTAAGTAGGCAGAATGCATTTTTGTTTGCAAAAGATTGAGCCCAAAATACATTTACATATTGGAAATATCAAAATCAGATAAGTGAAAAAAAATTAAATATCTGGGAAGTTTTTTGACTGAGGACGCAAAGTGCGACACTAAAATCCGAAGACGCATTGGGTTACCCGAAGATGCATTCCTAAAGCTAAGCAGAGTATTAAGAAACAGAAAAATCTCATTAGAAACAACGAAGATTACTGAAATGTTACGTGATATAAGTCCTTCTATATGGCAGTGAATGCTAGAAATCTCTTCAAATATGAAGAAGAGACTTGAAGCAACAGAAATGTCGTTCTACAGAAGTATGCTGAGGCTGCCATGGACTGAAAATTTGAGCAACAACGAAGTTTTAGAGAAAATGCAAATAAAAAGGAAACTTATGCGAAATATCAGGAAGAGAAAATTTGTAACTTTTGGGGCACATAATGAGGAAAGAGGGCTTGGAAAAACTGATACTCACACAAAAGTTTGAAGGCAAGAGAGGCAAAAGGAAAACAACACATAACCTATTTAGTAATCTTTGCTAAGTGAATGGCGGAACAAGTTTTATGAGAAATAGCAAAAATACAAAATTTATTAAGGACAGGAAATTATGGAGAGCTATAATTCCCCGCAGAAACACTGCACATGGTTGTGTTTAAATGCCATATTTTAGCAATTTCTTTTTCAAGATCATTACATTTTGTAAATTTGTCATATTCTTTTGCTGAGATGTATTCATCAAATGAGAGGTTCATATTAATTGTGAGGTGTTTTATAATTATCGGAGATTGAATTCCAGTCGGGTTCGTTATGTTCATTTACATGCAAATATCCTGTGGAACGGTATGAACCCATCTTTTCTCCATCTAGCTATGAGATGAATAGCAGGGAAAACTGTCATTTATAGCCTTGGCTGGCACCCAGTTAGCCACAGAAAGAAACGGCAACCAACCGCGGGAAACTATTTTGCCTACTCATTGATGAATTGAAAAAGGCACGTTTGTCCAACAGTTGTTCTTGACTAGGTCGCTTGGTATATACGATGAAGTTCCTGAACACTGCAATATATTAACTGAAATATATTCATTTTTCTTTCACTAATAATGGTTTGTTTTAATACCTTTTTCTGCACGTTGAATCATTCAAGATAATGGCCCTTTTGATCGTATCAGATGTCAACTTCGTATCTACGCTGATGACACATCCATTTATGCCTGTCTGGATAGTACGTCTGGTCAGATCAATAAAATCAAATTTAAAAGAATCCATCTCTTTCGCGGGTACTTTTCATAGCGAAAAGACGTATTCCTTTCGCTCCAGCAAAAATGCAAGTACCACAACTGCTGTTGTAGCATACCTACGACCGATAATGGCTATGTCCCCATTCACATAAATACAGTAGTAAATACTGTATGTTGGTCTGCAGTTGGAGATTCACCGTGAAATTCACTTGACTCATTCCTAGCAGTTGACTACTTGTACGCGATGTGTTGTCCTTGTCCTCAATATTATCGTTCATTACCAACATTCGTTTGATTATTCCCTTCAGCAACATTCCCTAGGATAGATAGATAAATAAAGAACGGACTGAGATAT